TTGGACAACATTCTAGTATTCTTTTCAGCATGTACACCCAGCAGGTGGTTTTGAGGACACATATATCTGCTACATGGCAGTGTAACATTTCTCACTAGAAGGGCTGCATCCTTCTACAATCCCACTAGTAGAACACAAGGTTTCTCTAGAAGTAGTAGTAGTAGTAGTAAGTAATAGTAGTATTTTGGATCAAACTTAGGTCCTTGCGCTTGCGAGGCAGGTGCCAGAACCACTGAGCTAAATCTCTGGCTAAGGTTTCTCTATTTTAATGTGCACACAGCACATGGCATCACACAACCTTCTCATTCTTGTCAGCATCCAGTAGGTAGAATATAAATATCTCATTGGTTTAGTTTGTTTTTTCCACATTACTTATGGTTTCAAGCAATTCTTCATATGCTTGTTACACTTCGGGTTTCCTGTTCTGTGTGTTGTCCCTTCATATCTTTGACACATGTTTGCTTTTTTTGTCTGATTTTTAGGAGTACCCTATATATGCAATCCTTTCATACCTATGAATCTAATCACCTGGTTGTGATGGATTTATCAGGAAAGAGGAAGATGAAGTTAATTCTGATGGCATGACCACTGGGAAGAAGCCCTTTTGGAATGTCTGCTTTGCAGCAGATGATGGATAGATAGCAGATGATGCTAAATGGGATGGGAAAACTGGAAATTGTTGGGTGGAGTTGCCCCCACAAAGGACATTCCTATACGCACTTTGAGATGGCATCATCCTTTGGGTCTTTGTAAATCCTAAGTAGCATGCGTTTGGTCTATCTTAGAAGATGGTCCTTCTGGGAATTAGAAGTATTGGTGCCACTCTGGGCTGCTACTTTATGCAGGAAATAGATCCCACCATCAAAACAGAAAAAAAGTACATTTAGAAGTGGTTACTGGGGTTACTTCTTATTCTCTCCTGTATTTTAGTACCCATCACAGGATCAATTAAAAAGAATCCTCATGTTTTTGAGATAGGAATTTACCTATTGTTTTATATTATTTTCATATTACTATTTCTAGTGTTCTTTATTAAATTTTTAAATTTAAAACTTTAAAAAATTTTAAAATATAGGGCCAGGGATTTAGCTCAGTGGTTCTGCTGCCTGCCTTGCAAGCCACAAGGACCTCAGTTCGATCCCTGGTAGCAAAACAAAAAAGAAAAAA